GTGACCTCTTTTCTCACGCAGAATGCGCACCTTTTAACTTCATATTTAGTTGCCTACAAACGTTACTCTTTTGAATGAATTAATTCATGCAAATTGAGGCTTAGATTAGTTAATTCTTTCGAAATTTTTGTAGATTTTTTTGCACAAAATTTAAAAACTGCGTTTAAAATGGAGTGGCAGCTAAACAGTGGATCGGATTGGTCAATGTCGAACCAATGACGTGGGGCCACACATAAGGCACTAGAAAATAAAAAATCTTAACTGGTTAACAGTACTGCAAAGAGAGGTGTCAATAAATTTTTGGAAGGTTGATGCGAAGGCTTATGTGCTAGATTTTAAAATCCATTTTGATAATACAGTTGACATTGCTTAATTTATTGAGCAATGGATAATACTAAGATTGAAATGGCCCCACAAATCTGTTAGAGGAGATTTTTTTGCAAATGGTGTCGAATATGGACAGGGTCATAACCACAGTCTCGAAGAGTGTTTGAGCGACCAACATTCTCCAATGTCATGATACTTTTATCTAACGCAGTAGCTGCTTTAAACAATCAGGGCAATGTGGATATTCGCAAACCAAGCGCATCAGCCTGTATCCATTTTATTGTTTTCGATTTAAAAAGTCAGTTTAGAAGATACGCTTTATTGTGCTCGTGATTAGCATGAACTTACAGAGAAAGGTTGTCACATATACGTGACGGAATTAACGATGGTTTTAATTAACACCCTTTGCAAAATCAAAAGAATTCGTGGCAGGCAAGCCTATAAAAATGAGGAAAAAGTGGTTCGAGGATTTCTAGATATAGTGTCTGGCGATTTAAGAAGCCTTTTGAATTTATTCTTTTATTTTTCTGTAAATTGTTCCCTCATTGGCTAACTAGGCACCAATCACGTTTTGAGTTATTGACTGGTTTCTGCTCAGCCGATTGAAATGGAACCCACCGACCCCTCGCTGAAGATAATTTACTATGGACGCATAAAAGGGGTTGGCGGCGAAGCACATGCCCGGAAACACGTGTCGCCAAGCGGAAGTACAAACCGGGGAGACTGAAGGGCCCATGTGACTCAATGCACCACACCGCTTCCTTCTTTTGAACGTCACTCCAAGGGTACGCTTCTGGATAGTCAATGCTTTAAATTATGCCCAGGAGGCAGAAAAGGTGGTCACTGGATTGTCAGGAAGGGAGGAAGGCATTTATTTTTAGCTTTAATTTTTATCTTGTCAATTGCGATGAACTAGGAGAGGCGAATTTCTCCTAATCATGAAGAATGAGGTGCCAATTCTTCATGTTTTTTTCGCCTGTCTTTACAGAATCGTCACAATTTCTTTCCCCATGAACGCTCACGGATAGTTCAAAGCGATTCTAGATTCCGTTGTTAATTGCCCACTCGTAGATCGTGAAGCTTTCATAGCTGCTTCAAGTGGATGTGAACCCCGCAACCCTTTTAAAGTAACTCTCCACAAATTCGGTCCAGCCGTAACCAGCAGATGCCCTCCTTCCGCGAAGTTAGGGCTGGCACTCGGCCAAGCCCTAAGTCAGGATGAAGGTTTTTTGGTATGAAGTTCGGTTGTCACTGCGGTTGTAATAGGCTAATGCCACTATGATGAAAGTTGACACCGCACTGACTTCATGCCTCGGTGTAAGATCTTTTGCCACAAATCTATTTGACTTTGTATTAACAAAAGAAGAAAGAAAAATGGTGGCATTTTTAGCTATTTACCCATTGCCTAACTAAGAACCAATCAGATTTAAAGTGGTTCTATTTTCTTATTGGTCAATTGGTCGAAGATTCCTCTGAAATCGCCTAAAATGGGTAACAGGACAAAATTTATCCCTTAAGAAATGCTAAATCCTAAAATTTTTCTTGACGTGAATTTGCGGTTTCACTGTTGATAGCCCAGAGAGATTCTATTTTTCTTTGTCTGAGAATCGACTCCTTAATTGGTAATTTTAACTGGATCAGTGTCAAATCTGGCGGTTTCTCTGTCAAGAAGAGGAAATAAAATTGCAGTTTTTTTTCCTTTTTCTTCTCCTGTGCCTACTTTCTACTTTTCATTGAGAAATTGTTACGATATGATATCCTACTCTGAGTTCTCACAAGCACAGAGTACCCCGTTCCTTGCGTTGCTCAAGTTCATCTTATTTCCAAAAAGAAAACTATGTCAGTAATTTTATGCCTTACTATCTTTTTTTCTGCAAAGGATTTCTTTCCACCCAGTCATTTCCGTTTAAGCATTTCCGCCTTTTTTGCGTCAACCAAAGACTATTTATGTGTCAGCTATATTTTGGCATTGAAGGCGGCGAATCAAACACTGCCACAAAGATTAAGTGACACGTTATCTGGTGATATTTTTCCCGTTAACCATGCATTTCTGCAGCGTCTGCCTTTCTTTTGGGTAAAAAAATTGCTATTCATACTAAAATATTTACACTAGGGCAGGATATCGGCTATAACAGAGTTGCCTGAAGAGTCACAATGTAAAAGCATCGTTGGAAGATAGAAATTTGGCGTTTCTTTTACGCAGCTGCTTGTCGTTTGTACAACCAACCTCCCGTGTATTAAAAAACTTTTCTTTTGAATACTCACTCTCTGCCTGTCTAAGGCCCACTTGGACTGACACTTGTCAATGCGGATAGCGAAACAAAAGTACAATGGCTGTCAACTACTGGATAATTTTAAAACTGGCTCCACTAAAATGAGTTCTACTTGAATAAAAGAGTTTCAAAAAACTATTTTTGGGATGGAAATGCACAGGATGATGTTATGAACCGGTGTTTGTTTCTGTGCCCACGGACACCACCGAAATGCCAACTGCCAAAGTCAAGGGAGAGGACTTTGGATAAACGAC